GTAAGAAAATTATATTATTAAATCAAATATAAATTAATTCGTTATTGAACCTAAATTAAATTATAATAAAAAATTTGAATTAAAAATTACACAAAAAATGAGGAATTTTAAATAGTTAATTTGATATTAATATCAATATATTTTTGTCAAATTTTTATGATATCTTCAAATTTATATTTTATTAAAAATTAAAAACATCATCGCTTTTTCAAAATCACATAAAATTATATTATAACATCGACTGAGATAAGGAATAAAATAAAATATTAAAATCAAGATTTATTTCGCTGCATTGTGCGAGTACCATTCTAGTATATATAAATATACATACATATACATATACATACATAAACATATACTGATATACGTATGCATATATATATATATATAGACTTGGGATCACGTGAGACTAATATGTTTTCGTGAGAGTCGTGACATCATTTTTTTACACTTGAAACTTCATAACATTTTGTTATGAAGGTAACCTTTGCAGTGTTTTTGTTGTGAAAGTAACCTTCACAATGTTTTTGCTGTGAAGGTTCGATTTTTTTTTACCTTAACATATTTTTCCTGTGAAGTTTCAAGTGTAAAAAATGGTCTCACGAGTTTCACGAAAACAGACTAGTGTCACGTGAACCCATCCCTATATACATATACAACATGTATATATACATATATATATATATACATATATATATATACATATATATATATATATATACATATAGGGTTGGGTTCACGTGAGACCAACGGTTTTTTGTGAGACCCGTAAGACCAATTTATATTCATTGATCAACTTTATAAACTAATGATCTAATGGTCTAAAGTTGTACGGTGGCATTTTTGTAATTATTGAGAAGTCTCGTGGCGTTTATGAATGTTCAGATCTAACGATTGTAAATCTAATCCAAGGGTTGAGAATTGGTCTTACGGATCTCACGAAAAACTATTGGACTCACATGATCCCAAGTCTATATATATATATATATATATATATATATAAACTAAAAAAAGTATGTTCTATTTTCATATAATGTATACTTAAGTTGAAAGTGAACTACATAACCCACCACAAAACTCTTTTTCTAGAGTAAAATACAAGTTTGGTCCTTGTACTTTGTCGAAAATAACATGTTTGGACCTTATAGCT